TAGTATATCCCCAAGAATCTCTTTGACAGTGAATGTGTGCTTGTACCTAATGAAGTTGGCGAAACGCAATAGCAATCTAGGTACCTGCCTCAAGCTTCTTTACATGCCTCTCAGGACGTAGGCGATCACGGCTCTCCACAATTTCCTGTCTTTTGTGGCTCTTAATAAGTTTTGTCTTTCTGTTATTTCTGTTCCGCCATCCAAGTTCACTCAGTATGTTATGCGTTATTTCTCTCTGTCCCTCTTGCGTTCAGTCTGTCCTGTCAGTATCAGATTTTCCAAGCCCTCTTTCCTCATTATATCACCTAGAAACATCAACTGCCTCTTCCTGATCTTAAGAATAATAAGTGTCCTTTTTGTTTCCATTTTCTCTAAAACTTCGTCGTTGCTCACATGTTCGATCCATGATATTCTCAGCATTCTTCTGTAGAACCACTTTTCTGTTGTAAACATTTTACTGTGCATAAAAAGGGTAAAAATCATACAGTTGCCTTTGGCAGTCTTGTGCCTGCCTCAGCAGAAAGCAAACCCCCAGGCAAAAAGACTAACGCGAACAAGATCAACCCTGAAGCTACAGATGAAAAATAAGCACAACAGACAACTGCAACAGATGCACAAACAAAATCCGGTTGGAAAGTATCATTCGGGCGACATTTTAAAATCTACATTAGGTACTAACCTACTGATAACAACATTCGACAACAATCCAGGGTGAGGTGCGGGGGGGTTATTGCAGATGCTACACTTGATTTGGTGTAACGCGCATGCGTTGAAAACCTTATTAGTAACAGCGAGCAATTTACAGCTTTTAGGCATGCGTAAAAAATATGGAAGAATGTGTAGCGCGAATCCTAAGGGGTTGGTCCCCTTTCATACTGCGCCGTAGACGAGGTACAATACGAAACTTAGCAGTCACAGGAGGACACGTAAACAAGAAACCTCACTCACTCTTTCACTAACCAACAGATTCAGTTTGTAGTGAGTGCGAAATAATAATTCCCTTTCACTCTCTTCAGATTCGAAGGACTGAGAAAAAAGACGGGGAGAAATTCGCGAGCTCATGTCAAATTTTCTTTGAACCAATGAAAACCTTGCCTTCACTGAGATTGATCGGCGAGCTGAGAAGAAGACGGAAATATATTCGCGAACCTATATGAAATTACTTTTGAACCAATGAAGACCTTGTTTCCAGAGAAATTAGCCGTTGAGCAAAGAAGAAAAATAAAATAAAATAGCGAACCTATTCAAAATTTCTGTTGATATAAAATGAGGAGAAAAATTAAATTAACAAGAGAAGAGTGTCTGAATCATGTGCAAGGTTTCGTTTCAGTTCCTCCCGACCAACGACCAGAGTTCAAGTTCTCGCCAGTGTAAAATTATTCGCCAATTACATCATCGGCTTTTAACTATCTCTCTTCGTTTACTTCAACGTATGCAACTGCATATCCCTTCTGTGAGCAATGAACTCTCTTACATTTGTTTTAACTTCTTTTTTTAAAATTTTATCTTGTGTTTAATTTTATCTGTTGTATGAACATTTCTTCTTCGTGATAATTCGTTAAAACTACGGACTTTAAAAATTTCCGATTTATTTTTCTGAAACGAGCTACTGACACAATTTCAATCGGGCAAATTCGTAATTTATTTACGAATTTACCCGATTGAAATTGTGTCTTTATTTTGTTTTGTTAAAATTATCCGTGTGTTTCCTTGTCATTATCATCTTTCATTAATCTTCTTGACGTGGGTAAATCAACTTTTCATAACTCCTAAGCCCCACGTCACTATAAGTTCAACCACGTCAATTTTTGACTTTTCTTACGGGGACTATCAACAGAACAGTTTTTAAGTTTACAGAAACTATCCTTGAACTAAATTAAAAGTTCCTGATAGAATAAAAATTTCTACCACATTTTATCCATTTTCCTGTTTCTGTCTATTTCTTTCAATATCGTTGTTAGATAATGTCACCTCCTCCTCCTTAGTAGTTAGTAGTAGTAGCAGCAGCCAAATTTATTTTCAGGTAAATAAATCTAGATTGATCGTGTGATTTGAAGGAATGAGAAGTATCAACGTCTTGTTAACCAATTACTAAATTCTTTGAGCTGAAATTACAAAACATTTTTCAGTGTTTTGTTACAAGGACATCAATACTCGTCCTTCCAGTACAAAATTTTCTCATTGAAAAAAATATCTTCTGAGAAAAAAAAAAAAAATTACAGGGGAGATAAATGCTTCTGCACAACAACGAGTTACTTCCCCTGTACTTTAAAATCTCATATACACGATTAATAATGAGTTAGCGTCTAATTGAATAAGACTGTTAGTTAAGAACTGATTGTCCCATATGCGCGCACACTATTATATATACACTAGGCATGCATATATATTAGAAATTTTGTGTACCTAGGAAGCAAATGTTCTTTAAGGCAAATATTATTAAAGACAACAAACATTTTGTGTCAATTATTGTTACTGGTCAACTTTTCCGAATTACAACTTAACTATTCTTTCTCAGACAAGGAGGAAATTCCATCAGAAATTGTCCGAAGAAATTATCTTTGATAATATAAATTACAATGTGCCTTCAAAATCATGTGCACTTTCGAGACGTGAAAATAAAAATAAAAAAAATAAACAAGAAAACGATACCCCAAGTTTTGAAAAAAATACCAAAAATAAATGAATTATCAGATTTCATTGACATTTTCATCATTTATTTATCAGGGAATGAACTTTATAGTGATTTTTTAAAAGTTTTGTGGAAGTATTTTTTTAAGTCATTTATACCCACCTCTTTTTTTTAAATTGTGGTTATTCTGCTCTAGTGAATTTTGGATGTTTTTAATTTTTACAAAAATTAAATCTCCGAAAATGCTAAAGAGAATTTAATATATATATAAAAAAATATGTTCCAAAATTTTAAGAATAGAATTCAAGAAAAGACAAAAATTATTTTTTGTGGAAAGTTGCTGATAATTAATTTTAATAAAATATGCTGTATAGTTTATTTTTCCATAAGGAAAAATTTCGGATAATTTGCTTTTTAAGGCTCGCGCTAAGTCTCAAATAAAAATTTCCGGAATAGTTATAATATCTATTTCGGACTCATTCGCGTCGTTGGCTGCTACGTCACGACAGCCATTACTGGCATTGTTTACATACATTCGCTGCTCAACAGACATGCGCGGAAGATTACCTTGTTAACGGCCTTTTTACTGATCCTACTTGCTTTAATTACTGCGTAACTGAGGACTCATTAATAATGGCTGTTGCGACGCGAATGAATCCGAACTTTTATTGTCGATAACTCTAAAACGGTAGATTTTATCAAAATTCCTTTATTATTTTCGAATAAAACATATACATTTACACGTAAATATAACTATTCGGGAAATTTGTATTTGATACTTAACGCGGGGCTTAAAAAGCAAATTACCCAATTATATTTGTGTATGAAAATGTGACATATATTTTTACATTACGGTTTTAAAACTCTTTTAGATTCAGGTTGTTGCAGACAAAATTTATACAAAATAAAGATGCGTTTGAAAAATCGAAAATGTAAAATTTAATGCCATTTTTCTGTGTAAACATTTTTTTTTTAATAATGTTATTTGCTTTCTGTTTTTTTTTTTTATTATTGCAACATTTTTATTTTTTTTATTTTATAAAACTTTGAATTATATCCCTAGATATAAAAAATAACGCTTCTTTTTCAGAGCTGCCAAAAGCGTTGAAAGCTTAGTAACCCTCATTTCAATTTTAAACATTTTCTTAAATTTCATTGGTTCGAGAAATTTCCGTAACAAAACAATCAAATTTTGTGCAAAAGTAGACTCAGCCGACGTAAAAAAAATCTTTCTCAAATTCATCCCTAATTTAAATGTTTCAAGAAATCCTATTGGCTAAAAAATAAAAAATATAGCATTCACCCACGAATTTTTCAGAAAAATTCGCAACAGCTACTAAGCCCTGTTGAGCCGATTTGGTTGTTAAAAAAAACTATAAATAAAAACGGCGAACGAATTTTCGTCACAATTGAGATTCACACACGCGAAAGATACACACGGGAATTAGGTGTCAAATAGCCGCCAAAGAAATAAACTTCCTTTATGAGAGATTAGAAAATTTTATCCAACAAACTTTTTCATTCAATATCTTTAATAGAAAAAAACTTTTGTCTAAGTTAAATTCAACCTTTTTAATCAAAGGCAAACAACTTTTCGACATTGAACATTTCCAAAATAGCAAAGAATTTTTTTCTCTTACATAGACTTTTGAACACATCATTACAAATAAAGAAATTGTAAATTGTATATATAAATTTTAATTTGTTGTTTCAAACATGTATTTTTTGTCGTGATTGAATATCGTTACCATTTGTCCATTTCTTATAATTTATGCGGATATTGCTTATTTTATTTGCAGCACAATCTTAAATATTCACACAGCCTTCCTAGATCCACTACAAAAGTTTTTACTATTTTAAACATCTGATAGCATTTTTGTCTGTTTAATAAAGTTTTTGATGCCATTGTAATTACGTTAGTCATACAGTAATGTTAAAGAAATTACTTGATTAGGCTGTTGTAAATCTTTTTATTATCAAGGAATACAAGCTTGAATCTAGTCTTGAAGTACTTCTTTGTTACGACCATAGGAAAGATTACGATGATATTTTTAAATGCCGCTCACATTCAGGTCGGACGCAGTCATCTCCAGAAATTATTTTCTTTGTTATACAGTGTAACCCGGATATAAGAGACCAGGATATAAGAGACCCGGATATAAGAGACCCGGATATAAGAGAAACCCGGATATAAGAGAAACCCGAATATAAGAGAGATTTTCTCTGGTCCCAAATTAGAGCCATACTTACCTAAACAAAATAGGCCAAACCCGGATATAAGAGAAACCCGAATATTAGAGACTTCTTCTCCGGTCCCGGCAACTCTCTTATATCCGGGTTACACTGTATTTTAATTGCAAAGAAATACCGCGTTCAAACATCGGTTCTCGTACGATCACTAAAGTTAAGCAACGTCGAGCCTGGTCAGGACCTAGATGGGTGAGAGCTTGGGAATACCAGATGCAGCGAGCTTGGATGTTCGCGTGGTATAGTGGTTAACGACTTGGAAACGGAAATCAGAGAGCCGAGTTCCAATTCCAGTCGGTAAGTTAGGGGATTCTTTTGTCAATATATTCCCACGAGTGACTCCGGATGCTAAGGGATTTTTTCAGACTCAACATATGCACGCAAGTGATCCAGGTTGCTAGGGTACTTTTTTTGAATCCAAATATCTACACAAGCGACAGAGGAATTTTTGGTTTAACATATTCCGACACTATAAATACTTAGCGATGTCTTGCCTCGTTCTCTTTTTCATTTCTTCATTTTCAGCGAACACATCTACAATGTAAGCTCTGGCAGAATATTGCGTCTTCCCATTTGTGGGAGACGCCATGAACATTATACACACATACACGTACGTACGAACATTCACCAAAATACAAACTCTTTCCGTTTACACACAAACAGAAATGTTAATGTCTATGTCCAGTGTAAATTTAGTTGTTTAATACATATACTTGTTTGTATATATATATATATATATATATATATATATATATATATATATATATATATACACAAACAAGTATATGTATTAAACAACTAAATTTGAAACATGGTTAGAACTGTGTAGCGAAAAAACATTTTAAATCAATTAATTTATAATATTAATGCTCTGTAAATTTACATTGAGCATTATTTTGTAAAAATAAAAATATCTATAAGAACACCGGATTATATATCTTACTGTTCTTTATATATATATATATATATATATATATATATATATATATATATATATATATATATATATATATATATCAGTCTTGTTGGTTTTCTTTACACTTCTTTATGGTGGATTCAGTCTCTGAGTCCGCCATGTTCTTGTAGTGAACCTTTTAATATTCGAGCAGGAATAAACACACGTGTTCCTAATTTAACAACGCGTAAACCCACAGTCCACTTATATATATATATATATATATATATATATATATATATATATATATATATATATATATATATATATATATATATATATATATATATATTACTTATTGTAACTACTTAATTATTTTTGCTTTTGAAATTTTGCACCAAGGATAATTTGGCGCCCGGTGGCCTCACCCACGTTACACCACTGAGAGTATCGGGTGTTAAATTTGAGTACATATCTACTTTGTATATTTGTTGTTGCTTTGCTATCAATTATATGAGCATATGGATTCAGAATGAACTCGACTGCCAATACATATAAGTAAAATTACTCTTCCTCATGAAGGTAAAAATGAAGATTCCCTGAACAATTAAGAATCAAGATGCAAGCGAGGAACGTTAACAGATTATGTTTTGTGTGGGTGTGACATCTGGGAGGAAAACCGGTGGGTAATACGAAGCGATATTTAGGTAATTTTGTAAAAGGATTCACTGGTAGTTTCTATTGGCTATGTCCCACTTGTACAGTCATTCAGAACCCCCGGTTGTCTGCTGGATTCACCTGCCAATGTACCTGTTTTTTTTTTAATATCGATTGCTCTTAACGCGTGGTCGTAAAAACAATCTATGACGTCAGCGCATAAAATAAAAAAATAAAAAAGAAGAAACTATATACGAAAAAAGAACCTACCATTTCTGAAAATGTACAACAAATTAGCAAACATTTACTTTTCAAAGTTTTGTACAAGGACAAAATTGCGGGGGACCCAATGACTATCGACGTCACAGTGATCTACAAAACTATTTTTTAATACTAAACGTTTTAAAACAAACAACAATAATAAATTTTTTTTTTTTTAAATTACCAGACGAGGTGATTGGAATAAAATGGGAAGCTGAGATATTTTTGTTTGTTTCATTTTTTAATTTTTTTTTTTATAACTTCATAACTTTCTTGTAATGAAATGCTTTGTTAGAGAATGCTCGCAGTATAAATTAATGAGTGAAGGTATATTTTATAAATATTTTATAAAAGGGGTGGTTGAAAGGAGAACGTCCATTGTGGCTTTTTTCTCCCCAAAATAGTATAATCGTCCCGATCCGTCTAAGGGTATAATTGCACACATGATGACTGTCAACTCGTTCAGCGAATATGATCATTATTTACATTATTCGGGCCACTGTCCTCATCTTTGTCGCCATATTTATTACAATGTTTCGGCCGTTGTACGCCCCGGCCTTCTTCAGGTGGTTGGAATGTCGAACTGAACTATTTCGCTCACTGGGGTAGACTGTTCTAGGTCCACGTGACATGTCTAATGGATGTCAGCTATCAGTTATCTCCTGTTAATTCACCTCTCCAATTTCTCCACCGCCTTAACCAGACATGGCACCTGGAACTAGAATAGTCTACCCAAGTGAGCGAAATAAGGGGTTCAGTTCGACATTCCAACCACCTGAAGAAGGCCGGAGCGTACAACGACCGAAACGTTGTAATAAATATGGCGACAAAAATGAGGACAATAGTCCGAATAATATAAATAGTGTACATAATACCTCATCTCAAAAATATAGACAGATACTGATTATGACCATCACTGACAAGTTTGATCAATTTTTAATTCTCAATGCCTAGAAAAATTCTGCTCCATTTTAGTCGTACATGCCTCCATGTCTGACCCCAGAAAGATATTTTACTACTACGTTTGACCGTATCATTTTCTTTTGCTCTCCTTTCACCCACCTGAATATCTGATACATCTTCCGAATTGTCGCGTTGGTGTCTTCATTTCTTTTCCAGTAACTTGTGTCCTTCATTACATCAGTTATGCCATTTGGACTGACAAGCGCACCCGGTGTATTTCAGGAATTATACGCCATTTTACAGTCACGACCACATGTACGTTACGCTCTGTCATATTTAGATAAATATGTTAGTGTTTTCTGTATGAAGAACACATCCAAATGTTTCTTTAGTAGCTTAAGAAAACATAGATTGAAGCTAAAACCGTACAAGTGTGAAGTTTTTAAGACATAAAGACAGTACTTACGGTTTAAAATGAGTGCTAAATGAATACCAGCAGACCTAGATAAAGTAAAGGCTATACGCTTCGTAGCCACTTCCATAGCTGTCAGATAAGTCAGGGAGTTCATTGATATATGTTCCTATCAGAGATTTACGCAGACGGAAAAAGGATTCTTCTTCTTCTTCTTCTTCTTCTTCTTCTTCTTCTTCTTCTTCTTCTTCTTCTATGTGCCGTGCCCCTTCAGGACGTTGTTGAATATGATGTTCCATAACTTCCTGCCCTAATCCATGTCCTGCCATCGTTTTACATAACCTCATTAGGAAGGTTATACGCTTGTTTCCTCTGTCCCTCTTGCCTTCAGTATGTCCTGTGAAGGTCATATTTTCGAAGCCCCCTTTCCTCATTATGCTTCGTAGAAATGTCAGTCTCTTTCTGATGATACGTGTAAGTCTACATTTTATTTCCATTTCATTACTCATTTGTTCAGTCGTGCGTGGTAATCTCAACATCCTTCTGTTGAATTCTCTAGCTTAACAGAACCATTAAGAAGGAATTGTGATGACAAAAGTTCGCAGGTGTAGGCTTTAAGAAAGCTTTATTCAACTGAGAATACAAGGTTCGCGTATGGTGTCCTTTTGTAGTCCCAGTAAACAGAAATAGCTCTCTCAAAGAGGAGAGTAACAAAACAAGAGGAGACTACTCTTGATTATTCATAACAGGAAGTATACACGTTTCAAGAATCGTTCGATAGTTAGAAAAAATATGGCCTCTGAATCGGTACATTTTCCACTGCTTTCCTTTAAATTCTTCAACTTATAAAATAAACGTATCCGTTCAAATAAACGAGCCGTTGCGAATTCTTAGATAAGTTTACTAAACCTAGAACGAAATAAAGAATCTTATCGTAGAGAAAAAAGTATTTGAAGGATAACAAGCGTGCTGTACGAAATATGCACTGTGACGAGGAATAAAATTTAAAGGAAATAATTTAATTGTGCCGGCACTTGTATTTGATACATAAGATTACACTAACCCAGCTGCCATAGCCTCTTCCTTAGGTTTCCAAAGTACTCTTATAGGATGGGTTTTATCTTTCAAAGAAGTCAGCTTTCTTAACTTTCTATAAACACAGCAGAAACGTTTGTGGATAAATAAATATAAGCGTATTAATCTAAAGAGTCACCGTAATTTGTTTTAAATTTAGTATCGTTACACTTCAAAACACATCACTGCTCGGCCTTTTGGAAGGTCCAAATAATATTAAGCCCCCCCCTCGCCCCTCGCCCCCGCCCCGGGTCGAGGCTACGTCCTGGGACTGATGATTGACTACATCCGGTAGCAAGGCCTCTGATCGGAAGCTTTTGAAGAGCATGGAACTACCTCTTAATTGCTGTCGTTCCCAGCTCCATTCTGATCCAGTGTGGCAGCACCTGTTAGGGTCCCAGCTATAGGCAAATATTTAACCCCCAAACTGGCGTCAAAACGCTATGAAAGTATAAAAGTACATTTTTATAGTAAAAAATTCCAGGAACAGATTTTAACAGTAGAAAAAAATTGAAATGAAATGATTTCCCGTTGCCTTTCCAATGATTTTGAAATCAGAGTAGTCCTTCTCCTGGACTGGAGGCCATCCAGCGTGATGGAGCTCAGTATACTTTACTATTTAATCCATAGCTGAAGGGGAGAGTTCTAAAGAGCGTTAGACGAAAAGTGAACAGAAAAGTCTAAGCCAGAAAATTAAATCTGCTCAGCCGATAAAATATTCCGGTAGCCGTTCCTTTAACATCATATCCGTTAGACATATTAAAAATAACAAATAGGAGAAAATGGGGGTAAAAAGATTGAATTGCGCCAAATTTACATTTAGGAAAATCTGTTTTAAAAATAAACAGCATTCAAAATCATGCTTGGGATCAAACACCGACTATTTTGACAACAAAAAGTGCAACCATTTTACACACCCAGCAGTAGGAGCCATCCGTTAGTTTCTGGATAAGAAGGAGTCTCGTGTGAGAATTCAGGCGAATATTTGTTTTTTCAACAGCCACAGAGCGAACCTTAGT